AGCCGCCGCTCTCTGCTGACAGCAGACCGGGGGAGAAAAAAAAGACATTTCTTTGCTCTGTGCTTTCAGAAAATAACCAGGGTTAGGGTAAGAAAGACCAACGGTCTGTACAGCAGTCCCACTGTGTTTGCAGGGCATATCAGGCTGTGTGATTATGCGCAAAGTTTGGTTTAACGCATTGGAGCAATTTCATACAATTTCGGACATTTAACGTGATAAACTAATTTCAATTCAACATTGTCATTTGCCTAGAGGATTCAGCTGAAGCATAATGAGTGTTATTTGTCATTAAGATGAAGTATTTGCTTGTTTTGTGGTTAATTATGCACATAATCCATTTGACCCCATCATGAATGGGATTTTTATTCGTTCCTGCAGACAGGGGCAAAAGGATCAATGCGCAGCCTCCGTTTCCTTTGCGTCCGTCTCGTTCATTCAAACTTTGTAAACACGGATGGGATTTGTAGGGGACATGTGTATGCTGCTCACTATAAAATGTGTTTACTAAAATGTGTTTACTAGCCTCATTTCTAGTCAAAACAAATCTCTTTACACTTAAAAAATACTTGTTTCAAGCAAATTTTCACTTGAAATAAGTATGAAAATCTGCCCATGGAGCAAGTTTTTTTTTTGTTATTGCAAGCAAAAAAAAAAAAAAACTTGCTCGCTCCATGGACAGATTTTTTTTTGTACTTATTTCAAGTGAAAATTTTTCTGAAACAAGTGAAAATTGTCTAAAAACGTTACTTTTTAGGTGATGAGTCTTATTTCAATTGTAATGAGATTTGTTTTGACTAGAAATAAATATTCTTGTTAAGATTTTGAGTTTTTGCAGTGTAGATACACATACATACACGCATGTACGTTTTTGACCATGTTGTGACTGTTTGAAGCAGGTCTTCATTCTTGCTGTTGTGGTTTGAGTTGTGTTATGAGTTAGTGCAGCTCACTGTTCAATAAACAATTGAACTTAACTTTTTTACCTGCCTATCTGTTTGACTGACAGTTTTATTAATCAGCAAGATAACACTGACTTGGCACAAAGTTGGTTCAATTTAGTAAAAAGCTTGGATGTAGTTGCATTAGTTACTTTCATTTTGCTGTAGCTTAGCTTGCTACATTTCTGAGGGTGATAGCTTTGATGTAGTGAAGCTTCATTTAATATTAGAGTAACTAGTAGCTTAGCTCACTACACTTTCCAAGTAGCTTGCCCAACACTGGACGTTAGCATGGAGGTGACTCAAAATTCTCAACATCTTTCATGGGTTTTTGAACTGTTTTGCTTCTTAAACCATCTACCATGATAGAAAGGAGGTTTAACCTTTCAGAGTGACTGGTTGCTGAATTACAATTATGTGGAAGATGGATAATGGATTAAGGTTGGGGAAAAGTTGGCGAGAGCAATCGCGTTAGGCAGCCATCTTGTCTGCAGGTCACGTGACCCCCCTCATAAAACCCCAGCTAACTTGCTCTCAAAGTCAAAAAACATTCATTAAACACTGCCCTAGAGGCTTAGGAGTGCCTTGCTGTGGATGAAGGTTTTCAGCAAAATGTATTTTACTCACTGAAAAAAAGGCCTACCAAAAAAAAATTAATGTCAGTGTAAGTCTATATTGAGAAAACTTTTGCTACGTTACCTTGCCTGCAGACAGGCCTTTCCTTTGGCTCTTAATTTTCTCAACCATATATTGTCTGTATTCCTAAATTCCTAAAAGCCCAAGTGTGCCGTGCACTGTATTATGCTGCAGGTCAGTTGATTGGGTAAGGTAGTGCTGCTGCCCAATTACACTAATGCGAAACTTCACTTTTCTCAAAATTTCTAGGGTGGTGCATGCTTGTGTTTTTTCAGGTTGTTAAAACCAGGAAATGAAAACAGCTTTGGCTAGTTTCACTGAATGTACAATGACAAACAGGAGTGCGCACAGCTCCAAATTCATAGGAAATTTAACTTATTTAGTATGGGCAAAAATGCATAGCAACACATCTTTTTCTGTGCATTTTTGCCTATATTAAATAAGTGAAATCAGTGCTGTTGTTCTCATTGTTGACTGAATATACAACTGCAATTCCAAAAAGTTGGGACAGTGTGTAAAATGTAAATAAAAACAGAATGCAATGATTCGCAAATCTTTTTTGACCTATATTTAATTGAATACAGTACAAAGACAAGACATTTAATGTTCACACTGGTACACTTTATTGTTTTTACACTTATTCTGAATTTGATACCTGCATCATGTTCCAAAAAGCTGGCACAGGTGCAACAAACAACTGAGAAATTTGTGGAATATTTGAAAAAACACCTTTTTGGAACATTCCACAGGTAAACAGTAATTACAGTTAATTTGTAACAGATGTAAGTATCATGATAGGGTATGAAAGGAGCATCCTTGAAATGCTCAGTTTTTCACAAGCAAGGATTGTCACTTTGTGAAAAAATGCTGGGGCAAACTGTCTAGTCCAGCAGTCGAAGATCAATGTCAGCCTAGGTTGCAGGTCAATGATTGACTTTGTAGTCGTATCACTTGACCTGCGGCCATATGTGCTGGACACTCGGGTGAAGAGCAGAGCTGTCAACTGATCACCACCTGGTGGTGAGTTGGATCAGATGGCAGGGGAGGACGCCACGCTGACCTGGCAGGCCCAAATGAGCAGTGAGGATCTGCTGGGAACCCCTGGCGGAAGAACCTGTCATGATGATCTTCAACTCCCACCTCCGGGTGAGCGTTGACCGCGTCCCGAGGGCAGAGGGGGACATTGAGTTCAAATGGGCCTTGTTCCGCTCTGCCATTGTCGAGGTGGTGGTTGCGAGCTGTGGCTGCAAGGCCGCTGGGGCCAGTCGCGGGAGCCGTCAGGCTGAAGAAGGAGGCCTACAGGGCATGGTTGGTCTGTGGGTCTCCGGAAGCAGCTGGCGCGTACTGGCGGGCCAAGCGGAGCGCAGCAGCAGCAGTCGCGGAGGCAAAAACTCAGGCGTGGGAGGAGTTCGGTGAGGCCATGGAGAAAGACTATTGATCGGCTCCAAAGAGGTTCTGGCAAACCGTCCAGCGCCTCGGGAGGGGGGGGGCAACTTGCTCACACCGTTTACAGTGGGGGCGGGGAGCTGCTGACGTCAACTGGGGACATTGTCGGGCGGTGTCGTCCAATTTCTCGGCCAGAAGTCGCTGAGGTAGTGAAGCAACTCTGCAGCGGCGGAGCCCCGGGGGTGGATGAGATTCGCCCTGGATATCTCAAGGCTCTGGATGTTGTAGGGCTGTCCTGGCTGACATGCCTCTGCAACATTGTGTGGACATTGGGGGCAGTGCCTTTGGAGTGGCAGACCGGGGTGGTGGTCCCCATCTTCAAGAAAGGGGACCAGAGGGTGTGTTCGAACCACAGGGGGATCACACTCCTCAGCCTACCCGGTAAAGTCTACTCCAGGGTGCTGGAGAAGAGGGTCCGGTTGATAGTTGAACCTCAGATTGAGGAGCAATGTGGTTGGAGGGGGCATGGGAGTTCGCCCAACCAGTCCACATGTGTTTTGTGGATTTGGAGAAGGCTTACGACCGTGTCCCCAGGGGCATCCTGTGGGGGGTGCTCCGGGAGTATGGAGTTGGTGGCCCCTTGCTAAGGGCCATCCAGTCCCTGTACCAAAGGAGCGCGAGTCTGGTTCGCGTGGCCAGCAGTAAGTCGGACCTGTTCCCGGTGAGAGTTGGACTCCGCCAGGGCTGCCATTTGTCACCAGTTCTGTTCATAACTTTCATGGACAGAATGTCTAGGCACAGCCGAGTGGTGGAGGGTGTCAGGTTCTGTGACGGGAGGATCTCGTCCTTGCTTTTTGTGGATGACGTGGTCCTCCTAGCCCCATCGAACAGTGACCTCCAGTTCTTGCTGGGACGGTTCGCAGCCGAGTGTGAAGCGGCTGGGATGAGAATCAGCACCTCCAAGTCTGAGGCCACGGTCCTCAGCCGGAAAAGGGTGGATTGCCCACTCCAGGTCGGGGGGGGAGGTCCTGCCTCAGGTGGTGGAGTTTAAGTATCTTGGGATCTTGTTCACGAGTAAGGGTAGGATGGAGCGGGAGATTGACAGGCGGATTGGGGCGGCGTCAGCAATGATGCAGACGCTTAACAGGTACGTTGTGGTGAAGAGGGAGCTTAGCCAGAAAGCGAAGCTCTCGATTTACCGGTTGATCTACGTTCCAACCCTCACCTATGGTCACAAGCTCTGGGTAGTGACAGAAAGAACGAGATCACGAGTACAAGCGGCTGAAATGAGTTTCCTCCGAAGGGTGGCTGGGCTCAGCCTTAGAGATAGGGTGAGGAGCTCGGACATCCGGGAGGGACTCGGAGTAGAGCCGCTGCTCCTCCACATTGAGAGGAGCCAGTTGAGGTGGTTCAGGCATCTGGTAAGGATGCCTTCTGGACGCCTCCCTTGGGAGGTGTTTCGGGCATGTCCAACCGGGAGAAGACCTCGGGGCCGCCCCAGGACTTGCTGGAGGGATTACATCGCCTGGCTGGCCTGGAACACCTCGGGGTTCCCTCAGAAGAGCTGACGGAAGTGGCTGGGGAGAGGACTGTCTGGGCTTCTTTGCTGAGGCTGCTGCCCCTGTGACCTGGACCCGGATAAGCGGAGGACGACGAGCATGAGTACGAGTACGAATATCATAAAAAGATTCAGAGAATCTGGAGAGGTCTCTGCATGTAGGGGGCAAGGCTAAAAATCAACATTGAGCGTCAGTGACTTTTGATCCCTCAGGCTGCACTGCATTAAAAAATTGCATAAAGGATATTACTGTGGACTGAGCACTTTTGAAAATGATAGTCGGTAAACACAGTTTATTGCTGCATCTGCAAGTAAAAGTTAAAGGAGCAATAAGCGAAATTCATCATTTCTAGATTGAAGGAATTAAAAAATTGCTATGTGAAGAACTAGAGGTGTAATTTCATCTGGAGTATAGCATGACCTCACACAACCTTTCTCTGTGTTGATCTCCAGCCCCTTGTTTACAAGCCGGTCCGGCTGCGTGTTCATGTACGTTCATGTGAATGTTCATGTGAATGTTATATTTTTAACCGATCTGACAAGCCAGCAGCATGTCCGGGGGAAGAAACCAAACAAATTCCTTCTGTGAACGCTGTCGGAGATATCAACAAGAAATTAATGAGCTACAAGCACGGATTTTTGCTTTAGAATCTGAAAAAGGACTTCACAAGACGCTCCCAGTGACATCCGGTGGTAAGAAGCCCACAGTTACTTTCAGTAAAAAGGGTGAAAAACCTGCAACTTTCATCTTAAACCTGAGTGATACTGTGTCTTTTCCAAAATTCTGTAAAGACCAAAATGCCTCATCCTGGAGAGAACTTGGTGCTAAGCCAAAGCAGCACAAAGTGATGAGAGACAATGTTAATACCTACGTAACATCACCCAAAATACAGCTTACAAACAGATTTTTGCCACTGTCAGAGACTGAATTTAATGTTTCTAACGAACAAAGAGAAAATGGATTATCTTCACGAAACTGGAGCCATAAAGTCGGCAAAAGACAGCAGGCAGACAGACAATCTGGACCAAACGTCAAGGTCAGAGATACGCTGCTGATAGGAGACGGTGCTATCAGTGGCATAAACCACGGAAGAATTCAAACATGCTGCTGTCCCAGTGCCACTGTCTCTGAGATAACAACACTCCTCCCAAAAGTTTTGTCTACACACCGAGGAGTCAAACAGCTGATCGTGCACGTGGGTGCAGTGGACATCAGAAAGGAACAGACTGAAGTCTTGAAAAGGGATTTCACTAAGTTCTTCAAGGAGCTTGATAAAGTGGAGGTCAAGGCATTCATTAGTGGACCTCTTCCAAACATAGACAGGAAGATAAACAAGTTCAGCCGGCTGCTTCAGCTGAACACATGGCTGTCCAAAGAGTGTGCGCACAGAGGATTGCACTACATTGAGAACTTTTATCTGTTCTGGAAACGAGAGGACCTGTTCAAGGGAAAGGGCCCACACCTGTGCAGAGGTGGGAGGAGAGTGCTGACGGAACACCTCCTCCACGCTCTGAGGCATCAGAATGGGCCGGGACAGGGTCCTGAGCGACCAGTGAGAGAAAAGAGGAACGAGAGAAGCATCTCTGTCGCAGAAGCCAGAGACCGAGCCAGTGTTTCAGCACCAGCTGCACCACAACAGCCTCCACCGCCCCCAGCGAAGGATTCAGCTCCAGCACCACAACAGCCTCCACTGCCCCCAGTGAAGGATTCAGGCCCGCCATCGGTTCCACCTCCCCCCGGGCCCTCATCACAGGCCTTGGACTCGTCTGTGACGGCCCCAGCAGAAGTTTCAGACCCGGCAGCACCCCCATCACCTCCTCTACCCACAGACCAGCCCTGGGCCCCCCCTGCCACATCTACCCCCTCTAGAGACTTGTCCCTCTCCCTCTCCTTTTCATCCCCACCTTCCCCCATGGGCCTTCCCAACCATCTTGAAAGCCTGATCAAATCAGGGATTAAGATGGTTCCCCTCACCCCTAATATAGCAAGGTCAAGACTTCTATCACCAACTATGCTGAACTCTCCCCCGTATAAAACTGTGCCCCTCAAGTCACACAGGAGCTTCAACTCTCCTGCTTCACAAACTAAAGCTCCCCCAGCTCCTCCCCCTCGGTTTTCATCTGGTCCATCACCCAAACTTCCCCCTGCTCGTCCTCCCCTGCCTGCCCCCAGAGCTGGTATCCCTAAGAGCTAGGATGCACAGGGCCTCTGCTGTCCCAGGACTTACAGCCATGATAAAGGTAATATCAAGCTGGGGCCCTGTGAGACAATATTCTCCCCTAGTGCTATATCTACAGCCACACCACATAGACCAGATTACAGAAGGACAGTTAGACTGTCCAATCAGAGAAATTTAATCCATATCCCTTGTAAGAAGATAATGTCCAGTCCTACTGAAACTAATCTGAAACTTGCTGTGCTTAATGTCAGATCCTTGTCTAACAAATCATTTTTAATTAATAATTTGATCTCTTCGTATAATCTTGATTTTATGTTTTTAACTGAAACATGGCTTGACAAAAACACAGGTAATGCTGTTCTAACGGAATCAGCTCCACCCAACTACAAATTTGAATCTGAAACACGAGAAAACAAAAAGGGTGGAGGTGTCTGTGCAATATTTAGAGATCATATGGTTATGCACAGGTTGTCATTTGGGGTGTTTTCATCATTTGAGTATGTATCCTTTAAAATGGAGCTAAAACAATCTCCGTCCATACTCTATGTAGTTATATACAAGCCTCCCCAGCACCGTCAAAGTTTTATTGATGATTTTACCAGGATGCTTTCAATTGTATGCACAGACTTTGATGGTTTGGTCATTACAGGTGATTTTAATGTACATGTGGATAATGTCTGTGACAGAAATGCTAAAGAGCTCAGTGCTGTCCTTGAAACCTTTGGCCTGACTCAGCATGTGTGTGAGCCCACCCACAGCAGAGCGCAGCACACTCTGGACCTGCTCATTACAAAGGGGGTTAATATTTCAAACGTCAATGTGGTTGATGTTGCTCTGTCTGATCATTTCTGTGTCTTCTTTGACCTGTCTGTTTCTCCCAAACCACCGGCTGGTCCTGCAGTTGTTCGGAGGAGACACATAAATAACAGCACAGGTGCTCTGTTCATGGAAATGATAAACTTTGAAAATGCCTCATGTTCTAATGTTGATGATTTGTTGAACTCTGTTACTTCGAGTGTTTTGAATGTTCTGGACACCATTGCCCCTGTGAAGGTTAAAATGGTTAAAAATAAGCAGAAGGCGCCATGGAGGAATGACGACTCGGTCAGGGCACAGAAAAGGGAGTGCCGGAGGGCCGAGCGGAAATGGCGCAAGTCAAAGCTTCATGTTCATTATGAAATTTATAAAGAAAAGTTGTACGTGTTCAACCAGATCTTACGTAGAACAAGGGAGAGGTACTTTTCTGAAATTATTGGAAACTGCAGTAACAACTCGCGTGTCTTATTTGCAACAGTGAACAGATTAACAAACCCTCCAGCTCAACTGCCGTTGGAACTGATCTCCACATCTAAGTGTAATGAGTTTGCAGTATTCTTTTGCGACAAGGTTCAGACCATTAAAAATGCCATCAATTCCACAACACCAATAACAACCCTGCAGCCACCTAGACACTTAGAGCTGACTCATTTTGCACCTGTAACTGACAAAACTGTCCAAGAGATCATCACCAGTCTGAGTTCATCTACATGCTGCCTCGATGTGTTACCCACTAGATTTCTAAAGTCTGTGCTGAGCAGTTTGTTACCACCACTCGCTCACATAGTTAACATGTCACTACAATCTGGAACATTCCCAAAGGCCTTGAAAACTGCGGTCATAAAGCCTCTCCTAAAGAAGAGCAGTCTTGATGCCACAGTACTGAACAACTACCGGCCCATTTCAAATCTGCCGTTTTTAGGCAAAGTCCTTGAGAAAGTTGTTTACCAACAGCTTACTGACTTTCTCCTAATGAACAACTCCTTTGATGTTTTCCAGTCAGGTTTTAGACCCCATCACAGCACTGAGACCGCTCTTATTAAGGTGACAAATGACATCCGCCTGAACACTGACGCAGGCAAAGTCTCAGTTTTAGTCCTGCTAGATCTGAGTGCTGCTTTTGACACTGTCGATCATGAGATCCTTTCACAGAGACTAGAGGACTGGGTGGGCATCTCTGGCACTGCCCTAAATTGGTTGAAGTCCTATCTAGAAGACAGGAAGTACTTTGTTGAAATTGGTAACTGTGTCTCAGACCACATGGCCTTGACCTGTGGGGTGCCCCAAGGGTCAATCCTGGGACCCCTTCTGTTCAATCTCTACATGCTGCCTTTAGGCCAGTTAATACAAAGTAATAATGTGTCCTACCACAATTATGCAGACGACACTCAGATCTATGTCTCACTGACAGCAGGTGAATATGGACCAGTGGATTCACTCTGTCACTGCATCCAACAGGTCAGTGTGTGGATGCAAAACAACTTTCTCCAGCTAAATTCAGACAAGACTGAAGTCATCGTATTTGGTCCACAGAAACAAAGAGAAAGTGTCAGCAGTCACCTCCAGTCTCTCTCTCTAAAACCTACAAATCAGGTTAGAAATCTCGGGGTAATAATGGACTCAGACTTGAACTTTAACAGCCACATCAAATCAATAACATCAGCAGCTTTTTACCATCTAAAAAACATTGCCAAAATCAAAGGTATAGTGTCTAAACCTGACTTGGAGAGACTTATCCATGCATTTGTCTCTAGTAGGTTAGACTACTGTAACGGCCTGCTCACTGGCCTCTCCAAACGGGCCGTAAGACAGCTGCAGTACATCCAGAATGCTGCTGCTCGGGTCCTGACCAGAACCAGGAAGTACGAGCACATTAGTCCTGTGCTCAGGTCTCTACACTGGCTTCCTGTGGCTCAGAGAATAGACTTTAAAGCAGCTCTGCTTGTGTACAAGTCTCTCCACGGCCTAGCACCAAAGTACATCTCTGACATGTTAGTGCCATATGAACCATCTCGGACTCTGAGGACCTCAGGGACCGGCCTCCTGCTGGTGCCCAGAGTCAGGACTAAACATGGGGAATCAGGATTCCAGTTTTATGCAGCTAAAATCTGGAACAGTCTTTCTGAAGATGTGAGACAGGCCTCTACTCTGACAATGTTCAAATCTAGGCTCAAAACAGCTCTATTTCACTGTGCATATGACTGAAAGGATCTTATCTGCACTCTTCTCTTTTAAAGTTCATTTTATAATGATTATTTATGTTTTTATTTTGTATTGTGATTTTAATGCATTTTCTTGTTCTGTAAAGCACTTTGAATTACTTTGTGTACGAATTGTGCTCTACAAATAAACTTGCCTTGCCTTGCCTTGCCTTACCTTGCCTCAGCGGCTCAGTCCCAGCAATGGGTCAGGTGTTACAGTTGTGTTAGGTGAGTAGCCCGGCAGCCCAGCTAACATTTGCAATTAGCATTGTAAAATGTAGCCCGGCGGGTAGCCTGGCGGGCTGTGTTTAGCTATTCCCCTGCCTACTTCAATGATGATGGTACCTGTAATAAATGTAATATATTTGCTGAGATGGAGGCGAGGCTCAGTGACTAGAAGAGCTGGTAGAAGCGCTCCATAGCTGTAAGTTACTTCAGTAGCCGTAGTAGCTCTAGTGCTAACTCCAGAAGCTAACGCTACTCTGGGTGAGTCGGAGCCGTGAGCCTGGCGGGCTCGCGGGCTCACGGCACTGGCTCACGGAGAAGAGTGGGGACGTTAGCGTGGCAGCCAACTAGTTCTAACGCTAACGACCCTACTCTTCCTGTAGTCCTTCCTGCCTGTAGTGAAACCGTGGCTAACTGGTGCTTCTTTCTCAGGCTCCACTTCACTCAGCTGCCAGCACAGCCAGTTAGCCTCCACTAGCTTCCCAGCTAACGTTAGCCCCTCTCCGTTTGGATCCAACCGGAGCACCGAGCCCTGGTTTGTTATTCAGGGTAATGTGGGAAGAAGCAGCAGGTATATCGGGCAGCTGAGTGAAGTGGAGCCTGCGGAAGAAACACCGGGACAGTCTGGATGTAATAGTCCGTGGAGATGCTGCAATACTCGGCTGCACAGAAGAGGCAAGTAGGGTGGGAGGTGGAGAGCAGAGGTAGAGGGAGGTGTGGCTCATGACACACTTTGTTTTGGTCTACAGGCAGTGCACAACAGCAAACCTAGCGGTGAAACGATTTCGCTTTTTGCCCCTTTAAGACTCCACCATGCAAAGTGAAAGCCATACATCAACAACATCTAGAAACGCCACTGACTTCTCTGGGTCTGAGCTCATCTGGAATGGACTGACACAAAGTTGAAAAGTATGCTGTGATCTGACAATTCCACATTTCAAATTGTGTTTCGAAACCATAGATGTTGTTTCCTCTGGGCTAAAGAAGAAAAGGACCACCCAGATTGTTACCAGCTCTAAGTTCAAAGCCAGCATCTGCGATGGTATGGGGGTGTGTAAGTGTCCATGGCATCATGGATAACATAATGGATAACATCTGTGAAGGCACCCTTAATGCTGCAAGGTACATACAGGTTTTGGAGCACATATGCTGCCATGCAGATGATGACTTTTTCAGGGATGTCCCTGCTTATTTCAGCAAGACAGTGAGACATGTTCTGCTTGTGTTACAACAGCATGGCTTCATAGTAAAGGAGTGCGGGTACCACATTGGCCTGCCTGCAGTCCAGACCTGTCTCCCATGGAAAATGTGTGTGGTATTATGAAGTGCAAATTATGGCAGAGGAGACCCCGACCTGTTGTGCAACTTAAGTCATATATAAAGCAAGAATGGAGAGAATTTCACTTTCAAAACTTCAACGATTTGTGTCCTTAGTTCCCAAACACTTATTGAGTTTTGTCAGAGTTGTCAGTGTTGCACTGGGGAGCAGTAGCTCAGTCCATAGGGACTTGGGTTGGGAACCGGAGGGTCGCCTGTTCAAGTCCTCGTCCGGACCAAATACGGAGCGTGGACTGGTAGCTGGAGAGGTGGCAGTTCACCTCCTGGGCACTGCCGCGGTGCCCTTGAGCAAGGCCCCCCCCCCCCCAACCGCCTGTGTGTAATTGACAACAGAGTGAAAAAATTGAATTTAATAATAATTTAATTAAGTATATAAAATAAAAAATGAAAAGATGATGTAACACGGTGCTACATGACCCTGTCCCAGCTTTTTTGGAACATGTTGCAAGCATCAAATTTAGAATGAGTGTATTTACAAAAAACGAAGTTTATCAGTTTGAACATTAAATATCTTGTCTTTGTTTTGTTTGCAGTTTAATATATAGGTTAAGAAGTATTTGCAAATCATTACATTCTGTTTTTATTTCTGTTTTACACAGCATTCCATCTTTTTGAACTGGAGTTGTAGATATCAACACTCCACATACAGGACTGAGACTACTCTGTGTTTGCATTAAATATTTCTCTCCAGAGGACCTGATTCAGAAAGATCCTGAGCTTGAGTTGTAACCAAGCCCCACTCGTGGCAGCTGTAGCTTTCTGGATCCATGACCATGCATTTACAGTTCACAGATAGATTCTGCTCTGTCTGGGCCCCCAGTTTCCACAAAAGTTTATCCCCCCTCCCTCTGTTTTTGGCCCATTTAGTCTGCCTCCACAAAAGTTCTTCTCTGTACCTTGGTTCACAAAAATATCCTTCTGTCTCCACAGTCAGCATTTTGTCGTTGTCATGATCACTCAGTTTTTTCATTTCCTTGTACTTGTTCTCTCTTTTATACTGCTAAAAGTCTGACCCAAGCGTAACAGTATGCAGCACAACTAGGCTTTTGTCAAGGAATTTGGAAGTTGAGAAATTGTAGTGCCAAAGGAAAGAGCTGTCTGACAGCAAAGTAGAGTAGTGAAAATATTCTAAATATAATGTCCACATAGACTGATTTTGATTTCTTTTAGGCAGGCCTTTTTTATGTGGCTAAAATGTGTTTTGCTGTTAACCCTAATCAACAGTAATGCACTGCTGAGCTTCTGGGGTGCTTGTCCCATCTGTTTCTCCAAACAGAGACTGCACCGACCACCATCTCATCTATGTAATACTAGGGATGCACCGAATATTTGGTAACCGAATATATTCGGCCGAATATTGCAAAAAAAAACACACATTCAGTATTCGGTGGAATAAGTTAAAAGCAAGGCCGAATAATAGCGGCGTTTTGATAACACAATCAAACGGCGTGCCGTGACGGGCGGAATAAAATGTCGGAAGTGTGGCGATCCGTCCGTCATGGCACGCGCATTTGCGACTAAAAATAGTTTTGAGCGAGCAAAATAGGCTTAAATCATTCAGCACGCTGTGCAAGCAGCCTACAGATTTCAACCAGCAGCAGAAACGAAAGGCGAATCCCACCGATTGTGGGTTGAACGGGGATCACAGACACAGACAGTAACGTTAATGTATTCCTGTCAAATACGGCGACCATCGGCTTACCGGGCGACGGAGAGGCGGTTCCAATAATATCCTCTTCTTGGTGTCATGACTGCCCAGAAGTACCTGAACAGCCGAGCCAGCTGAACACAGGTATGTGATGTATCAGAGGAGAAACGAGCCTTTCACATTTCTCTCTTTCTGGCAGTAACGGCCCACAAACCTCACCGCACTTTAGGGACTGTTCATTACTTATGAAGGGACTGTCAGGGGAGGAGGGTGGCTGGTTGATTTTTATTTTATTTATTTATTTTATTTTGATCCCCCCTATGTTAATCACTTATTGATGCTGTTTTTGAAGTATGAATAAGTCAATAAGTAATTTATTCCATTGAAATATCATTGATGTATTATAGAAAAGTGATTTATCTTTTCATAAATGACAAAAGGCACATCTGCCTCATTTTCGCTGTGGTATCATGATACTACTCAGAACCATGATATTTTCATTGGTATCACACAGTGGGTCCCAATTTTGGTAATCTGGAGGGGGATCATCTGCAAAAACTAATGAAAAACTAAACAATGATATTTGGTATTCGGTATTCGGCCAAGCGTTTAATAATATTCAGCTTCGGCTTCGGCCACAAATTTTCATTTCAGTGCATCCCTATGTAATACACTTGACTACAGATGAAAACCTCACATAGCCTGTCTTCAAAAATTCTTAACTGTTTACTGTAAGGTTCAACTTGCAACTGCTGGCCCATGTTTTGTATCAAAGTGTTAATTTGGAGGTTCTTTGCCCTTCACAGGTGTTGAATGCAGTTCTGCTCCTTTGCGCTGTGCGTTACCAGTTCCTGCCCAGTGTCTGGCTGGTGTTCGTTGTAATTCTCTATGAGGGTCTGCTGGGTGGAGCGGCGTATGTCAACACCTTCTACTTCATCAGCAAGGAGGTCAGATATATGTCAATTGGGATGCAAACAGCTCGCTTTTCGGCAGCTCTCGTTTTTTTCATGTCAATTTGGGTGACTTGTGGGAATCGTGTAGATCCGAGGAGGTTTTTTTTTTTGGGATAGGGTTGTCAGGTCCGCTTATTAACTGCGACTTTGGGCTTGTTTTTTTGTAAAGTTGCTAACAAATATTAGTAGTTGCGTTTTTTTGGGCTTGTTCTGAAATGCTTGTTATTAGCGGGAATGCACTTCATTTGCTCTCCTTACCACCAGTTTAACTAATCACACTGTAGGCACTCAAACCCAAACCACTGACAGTGTTTCCCCTAGGTTTACAGCTTTAGGGGGGAATAACAAATAAAAAAATGTTGCTCATATTTAGTTCAGGTTTGGCCCACTTGACATGCTGCTGTGTTGTGCTACAGTGTATTCAAGTACTGGAATTTGTTATTTACATGACGCCTGAACGCAACACAGGCTGTGTGTGTTTAATGTTTAATGTCAGACCTATTTAGACTTTTTATCCTGTTTTCATTGTCCAAACGTGAAAGTTTATGTACAAATGCACGAAGTCACATTTCTGTGCTCCAACCAGTAACCTGCTTTGTGGCTCCTTTAAATTGAGAAGCATAATCGAACATTCAGAATTTGATGTCATGAGCAACTTGAGCTGCTTTCGCTGCCACAAATATTTTACCAGCAGCGCTGCTAGAGCGAATTCAGCTATTTTGCAGCTCTGGCAGCTTTTGGTGTGAACGTACAATTAAAGTGAAAGTAAAATGGCTCGTTATATGCAACTTCTTTACTTTCATTTTCATTCATTCTTTCCACATTTTTGGTCAGCTAGTTGGTTTGGTAGCATATGTATTTGTAAAGTAATTTTGAAATGGTTGCTTATGAAATGCTGATCAGTCCATGCATGTACTGCATCCTATATATGTCTATATATGTCTATACATGTATATATATATATATATATATAAATTCAAAAAACTTCCAGCGCACACTAGAGCATAGGATTGACAGAAGGTTTATTATCAAAAATTACAGAAGAGGCGAGCAACGTGTTTCACATGTTGCTTCATCAGATTCGCGCCCTTGAACACAGTGGTGTAGAGAGTCATGGGAGGATACGAATGAAGCAATGCTACATCAATTGGCCAAAGGGGGGCGCTATAGCAACCGATTGAAATTGCAAACTTTGAATGGGCATATCTCATGCCCCGTATGTTGTAGAGACATGAAACTTTGCGCAGAGATGCCTCTCCTCATGAAGAACAAATTTGCCTCAAGAACCAATAACTTCCAGTTATATAGGTTTTCCACCATTTTAAATTTTTTGAAAAACACTTAAAATCGATCTCTTCCTAGGAAGTTTGACCGATCTGCATGAAACTCGGTGAACATAATCTAGGGACCAATATCTAAAGTTCCCTCTTGGCAAAAGTTGGAAAACTTACTAAAACTGAGCTTCTATAAGGCAATGAATATTGCAAAGGGCGTGGCTCATCACATAAAGGTATATAACATCTCAAGGGTTTCACTGATCACCACGCAGCTTTGTAGGCACACAACTTTCACAGCTGGTAGTTTATGAAATCTCTCAACATGTTTACTATTGACCTGTTACTTTAATATGCACAATTCAAGGTTGTAATTTCAATAGCTTTTTCATTTCAATGATGTATTGACATCAAAAGTTTTCACATGTATCTGTGTGACATCCTGTTAGTGATTCTGTGTGTATGTGCAGTAATGCATCATCATACTACCCTGTTCTGTGTACAGCTGTGTTGCAACTCTGTGAAGGTTTGTCATTCTACATTAAATGTGTGTTCATTCTGTCTTTGTTTTGTCCATCTGTCTTGTTTTGTCCAACAGACTGAAGACAGACAGAGGGAGTTTGCCATGGCTGCTGCAAGTGTAGGAGACAGTCTGGGCATAGCTCTGGCTGGACTCACTGCTCTCCCTGTCCACAGATACTTCTGCTCCCTATGAGCCAGCCCACACACCAACCAGCAGAATGAAGAAGCAGGACTTAACAGTGTCCCTTTTGAAGGATTCCTTTTAACCAAAATGAGTTAGGGACATTTTTTAGTTCTACACAAAAATATTGATTCCACATACTGTATTTAATGCCTATTCCTAATCACAAAAAGTTAGCCATCAAGATGGAGGCTGGACTTGTTAACTAACCTGTCCTTTTCTCAGGGCCAAGCTGTGAGTAGCAGTGATGAGAGCCAGTTATCTCATGACACAAATAGTTTTCAAGAGGACGGCAGGGTAGACACTGTCTTAAAGTAAGGGGAAAATCTAACATCTTTTATATGGATCAGTGTTTAAAGTAAATGTAGTCCACTGAAGCAATAAATCCTCAGTATAGACAATATAGACAGAGAGCGGAGTTTGCAGCTGTGCGATCAGTTATTTTTCCTCCTTCCCAGGGTCATCATTTGATGGAGAATGTGATCCGTGATAATGTCACCTACACCGAGCCTGCTACCTGCCATAGATGTGGTGTTTGGTATGAGGAGGCAGTAATGTACTCCATACTGCTTTGGTGGATAAATAGATCCGTCCTTTATTAATTACTAAAATTTGGTTTGTGTGATATATATTTATAACTAAATTGTCTTTGGGAACATATCTTTCATGTCACACAATATTGGGCTATTTAACATGCTGATGAAATTATTCATTCATTTGGCATATTTCCCACTGAAAATGTTGGCTGAGGCCGTGGCTGCCGTGCAAAAAGATATGGCTGGCAGCAAGAACTCTACGGAACCTGAGCTGTAGAGAGCAAACACCAACTGGCAGTGCCTTTGCTTAAATCACCCTCCGATGCCTACAGAAACTGAATATTTCAGCGTGGCAGTTTTAGTTGGATACTGTTACTGAGAGAACCTGTGTGCGCAGTGCATGAAAGTTTTCCTTGCATGCATAAGGTGTGCTGGAGACCTCCATCAGGATTCTAAAAAAAATAACTGGAAAAGACAACCAGACAAGGAGCAGGGCTTAGAGGACAGATGACCACTGAGTGCGTGTTTTTGTTACTTAACGGTATTTTGCTATTTTGTTTAGTTGCCTCTTAGTGAAAAGCTAAATTATAAAAGATAAACAAAGGGAGTGAGGCTGCACTGCCACTGACAGTATGGAAAATAATGAAAGTAGTAGTAGTAGTAGTAGCAGTAGCAGTGCACTAACATTAGTGGTTCATATCAATGCTTGTCCTGTAGCTGCTTCACAAGAAAATGATTTCTCTGGTTTAGTCCTACAAGCATATGAAGCAGCAAAACAGGGCAGGAAATGTTCACTTTATGTCTACAGCAGTTGTAACTGACGAAATGCAGTATGAACGACACTTATCTCAGAGCAACAAAGCATATCACATAATTAGTTAATATTTTAATTGCATTTACAGATTATTTTTAAAGTGCTTCTGAATGAAGCATCTTATTTTCAAAGATAGCATCTGCTGTATCTTTGTCATATCATATAGTTTGAGGAGCTTCCTGTTAGTGGACAGAAGGTGGTGAGTCTGAACTAACCAAAAAGTGACACTAGAGTTGAGCATTAGGTAACTGTAATTTTACTGATCTCATTTACTATTATTCGTGACAATAAAGTGTCAATCTCTTACTGCCCTTTACAGCTGGCATTGTACTCAATAACCTATTGCAACTTTAAAACCAAAAATGGTATAATAAAATGATTGGTAATAAACAACACAAAACAAGCACAAAAAAGCGTTTGTGATGATGTCTTTCTTTATATTGACTACTGATAGTGTGGGATATTTATTTTCTATTACGCAATTACAGTTTTATTTTGTGTCCTAAATACTTCCACACAGTCAAAGAGCCTAACCATTGAGTACTGACTGTTGCAACACTATGGCATTCATTTTTGAATAAACACAGTAGAAGTAATGGTAACCAAGTTGCTTCTCTGAACAGAGGAGAGCCAGTGGATGAAATAGTATTAAGGCTCTGCGTATTCGTAGAACCAGGTTTAATCAGGTTATTGGTTAACTAACTGATGTGTTATTGGGTGTGAATGCTGAAAGCAGCTTCAAAATTCTTTATTTGGGGTGCCTGCTGTGGAACGCAGGCACAACCTATTACTATTGTTCGCGTTTATTAGTGTGGATGCTTCAGCAGCCACTCTAGAGGCTGACATTTTTTCGGGAGTCCCACGCATCACGTGATTCCCGTGGGATTCCCACGGGATGGGAATCAGGTTCACTATTCTTCATGTGATGGGGGGGATGGGGAAAAAAGTCAACGGAAGTGGGCGGGACTGGGAATCATAATTAGGCGTGTCGCGATATGCGATAAGTCGGTTAATTGCACGGTAAATTAAAAGGGATTAATTGCCATATTCATGCGTGTTTGTTTTCCTCGTCTCTCTCCACCAAAGAGACTGGACGACAAGAGCATTCACTTCCGTGCATCGTCTGGCAGCCAGGTGAGTTGAATCATTAGAATAATGAACAGAGGGAAAGCTCTTGTCATCGAGTGTCTTTGTCTCTGTGGGGGAGGCAGGGCTATGGGCTACACACACACTGCGATCTTCATGAGGGGGAGACGAGGCGGAGAAGAAAACAGAGTTGAGCATAAGAGAAAGACATGGAACTTGTTCCTAAACCAAATGCCACGGCCCCTGTGTGGGAGTGTTTTGGATTTAAACCAAATGACAGAGGGCAGCCCAGTAATTTGGACAAGCCGGTGTGCCGGGTTTGTTCTAAAACCATCTCAACAAAAAGATCGAATACGACCAACTTAACTGCACACCTGCTACAACAGTAACATGCTGCTCTAACACTGATGCTTCAGTATTAATAATCTAATGATGCCATATATAATAATATCAGTCAGAGAAACCAAACACTACTTCTACTGCCATATTTTAACTACATTTTTCTCTCTCAGAACTGGTTCTTATGATGTGTTGTCTGACCACATCAGAAATCAAATGTGTTTGTCATTCGGAACAGCATCAAGGTGGAGTGCAAGGCTGTTTCAAGATACTCTGGGGGCCCCAGGCAAGAGGCACCTTGGAGCCCCCCCCCCCACCCCCCCGCCTCTAGGGTGACCAGGTCCCAATAAACCAAATGTGGGACAAGGAGTAGGTTTGTGAGGGACAATGTGGGACACCCGCCCCCCCAGCGCGAAGTTTAGTCTTCAGAGACTTTGTCACGGTACCAAAATTGGGACCCATGGTACGATACCAGTGAAAGTATCATGGTTCTGAGTAGTATCACGATACCACAGCTAAAATTAGGCAGATGTGCCTTTTGTCATTTATAAAAAGATAAGTCACTTTTCTACAGGCCTAATACATCAATGATATTTCAGTGGAATAAATTACTTATTGACTTATTCATACTTCAAAAACAGCATCAATAAGTGATTAACATAGGGGGGATCAAAATAAAATAAATAAATGAAATAAAAATCAACCAGCCACCCTCCTCCCCTGACAAGTAAAGAACAGTCCCTAAAATGCGCTGAGGTTTGTGTGCCGTTACCTGCCACAAAGAGAAATGTGAACGGCTCATTTCTCCTCTGACACATCACATACCTGTGTGCCGCCACGGCTCAGCTGTCCAGGTATTTCTGGGCAGTCATGAAATCAACAAAGAGGAAATTATTGGACCTGGAGCCGGACTTCTCTGTCGCCGGTAAGCCGTTATCTTACGCACAGCGTGCTCCTGAATGATTTGTTTTGCTTGCGCAAAACTATTTTTAGTCGCAAATGCAAGTAAAATGCTCGCACCGTAGAGCTCTGTGGAAAACAAATCACTGTAGCATAAACAAATCTAACCTACAAGTAAAAAGAAATAAATAATAACTTTCACTGCTTAAAGGTACTCAGATGCTCAGCTAATACCTGAAATGTCACTGGATACAAACCACTGCAGCAGCATATTGAGTGCCAGGTGGCCAGCGCATGCCGTTATTGGACGGCGCATGGACACTCACCCTCTTGCGATTGGACTTTGAACTTATCCCACAGTAGTGGTACCGTGAGGTACTGTAGTACTACGGTACTCCAACAATGCTAGCGCGGGTGGCAACCAATCATGCGGGACATGGTCTCAATTTGCGTGACGCGTGAAGAGCGACAGAAATGCTGTGCAGTCCCGCACAGTGCGGGAGGGATGTCTGGTCACCCTACTTAGCCACTCGCAAGCAGCAGCTAGTAGGGGGCCCCATTAGGGGGGATTCCAACGTGTTGTCATTGTTGCAGTGTCTATAGGGGTTCCATCATATTGTCATTGATATGGACCAATGTCAGCCGTCTCTGGGGGCCCCCTTCCAGCTCGGGGCCCTAGGCAATTGCCTAGTTTGCCTGTCCGGTTGTGACGGCCCTGGTGGAGTGAATGTTAAAATAGGGTGAATTCAGGTATATTGGGACACTTTTTGTAATTCTATCTAGTGATCGCATTCTTGTCATCAATTTGAAAAAATAACCCAACATATGATGCATTTATGAATTCCTCAAGGTGTTTACTTTCTTTATGTGAAGAAATTAAATGTATATGATATTTCTACAAAGCATGGCTCACCATTTTATTGTAGCTGACACAAAACTTTCTTTCAGTGACATGTTTGGTAATTTGGGACACACTTTCATCAGTGTAACTGCTTTCTTTCAACCCTAATGACATATTTCAAAGAATATTTAAACTGATTTCTTCTTTTACTTAGCCTTAAATACATGACTAAGGTTACTTGGTACTATGGGTTAGCCTGTTATGTGTTATGATAGCTGAATAAATTATTTCATCAACAGGTTTAGTCTTAGGCTATTGATTAAGGTGTTAAAGTGATTAAAGAATCCAACATGTTTACAAAAATATTGAATTAATTGAAAAAAGATTCATAAACACATCAATTCATGAAAACAACTCATTGAAGGTTTTTTTAAAAACGTTTGTAAACATTAACATTAAAAGCACATTAAAACATTAAAATTGCTGATATGACAGAACTACAGTGTGTTCATCAATGGCATCAACATTTTTAGAACAGAGTCAATGTAATTTTTTTTTTTCACTTTGAGTTCAAGTATCACCTCCTCTTTTCTCTTCAATATTAACATTAAACCATTAAAAAAAACTACAATGGCATCAACATCAGCATTATTGGAAAAGTGTCAACATGTAGGCCTAAACTTTTTTCCCCTATTTAATTTTGAGTTTCAAATTTCACAGTCTCACATTCAAAGGCAGTCCTTGCAAAGGTATGTTTCATCATCATCGATCACTCCGTTTTCCTCCCCACGTCTGATGGTACCACTTCTTGCAGGCTCCACAGGAAATCCACTCCTCTTCCCAGATAGCACACATACATCTGGCCGAAATCAGCGTGAGGACAACACATCAGCCCTGAATTTATAACGTCTGACAAGCGTCAGCCGCATGGGCGGATATCTTTAAATTTAATACTCTTTTGTCCCAGCTCATCAAATGTCTCTGTTATGTCGGCTTTGGGTCGGCCCAGTGCCGTAGAATGTCTGCCCACATACAGAAGTCGCCACAGAGGCGGAATTTCATCTCCGCGGTCTTTGTTTGGAACTGAGCTCGCAGGACACAGCATCTCATCACAGTTGGTTTCAGGTAAACTAACTGGAATAAATTGGCAGAAAATAGCTATGTTGTTTCTTCTGTGACCGTTAAAAGAGGTTCCTGGGGCCTCATTTATCAACCGTGCGTAGAAAAGGTTCTAAAGTCTGTCCTAAGAATGAAACTTAGAATGTGTGTAAGTACAAAAAAATCCATAATTATCAAACGTGCGGACACTGGTCGTACGCACACTAGTAAGTAATCAGTGATGATAAATCCCACCTGTTCTTAACTACCATGCTCGTGCATGGTTAGGGTCATTTGCATTCAGAAACGCCTCCAATTGACCATATATGGCAGCAACCATCCCTTTAATAATGCGTGAATGGATTTTTTCCCCCTCACCGAAATCATGGCAACGAGGGCGAAGAAGAGGAACTTTACCGACACTGAGATTGAGGTACTTGTGGGAGAAGTTGAAACAAACCAAAAAATACTATTTGGAACGCTTAATGCAGGTGTGACCAACCAAAGAAAGAATGCTGCGTGGAAGAAAGTAACGACTGCTGTGAATTCCGTTGGGTCAGAGGAAAGATCACTCTCAGAAGTAAAAAAGAAATGGTTTGACATTAAAATCAGAGCCAAAAAACGCATCACAGCCCACAGACACGAAATATCTGCAACTGGAGGAGGACAAGCAACAACAACCCAGCTG